AAAAAAAAAACTAATAAAGCAAGTTTACTGAAGATGAAAGAGATGAAGGAAATAATTCAGCTGTTTAGGAATTGGAAAAAAGTGTCTAGGCGTGAAACGAGACGTTTTGCCCGAGCTTCAAGCCTAGTTGGTGCCTAGGCAAGCTTTTTAGAACACTGGTGAAAAGTAGCACCCGTATCTGCCTACCATTCCATGAGATTTCCAATGTTGTTGCATTCCAAAATAATAGTTGACAAATTTCTATCTAATATTCCATCAAATAATGTATCCGATTGGGTGACATTTGCTTGGACTTGCTTTCTTGGTTTGCGATGTTCATTTGAGTGATGTCCGACCCTTTCACAATTATAGCAATTGCCTCGAACTTCTTTGCATTCTTATTGTTTTCTGTTTGAAGAATTCCTTGGAATGCTTTCTTTTTTTTTCTTTTTTATCTTTGCATTGGTTTCTACCACATTTTGTCTTTACTTGTGGCATTTGGCTTCTAATTCGTTTGTCCAACTTTCTGTTATATTCTTCAATTCTGAACCGGACTATGAGTTGTTCAATTACTATCTTCTTGCGTTTGTGCTCAAGATAGTTCTTGATGCCCTTTCACATGGGTGGAAGTTTCTCGATAATTGCAGCCATTTGAAAAGTTTCACCTAGAGACATGTTATCAACATGGATGTCATGTAGATGAATCTGTAATATTTGTACTTCATTGATCATTGTTCCAAGAACTTTCCAATGATGAACTTCTTTATTCTAACGTCTTTAGTCTTATATTTCTTCTCCAAGGATTCCCATATCTTCTTAGCAGATTTCATGGAACTATACACATTGTATAGTGTGATGTCCAAACCATTCAAGTGTAATTATTGCATAAGAATTGTGACTTTTTCAAGCATCCAATGCAATCAACGATGCCCCAGTGTTTTCAGCTTCTTGCACGATGGGAGCATCTTCATCCAGAAATTTTGCCAAGTTAAGGTTCATTAGATAGAAGAACATTTTTTGTTACCATCGTTTGAAATCAACCCCGCTAAACTTTTCGATTTCTCTCCATGTAGCATGGAAGTTGGATAGATGATAGTAGGGAGAACCATAACCAGGGGAACAACAATCGAAGTAGCATCGGCATTTCCAAACAAAAAATAATAATAATAATAAATCATAATTCAAGTTTTAAGTAGATCAAGAGAGTAGAAATTTAAATTTAACCGAATAAACCAGATAATTAAATGAAGAAATCATTTTAAAAATTCATCTTAAAATTGTTAAAAAAATAGTGATGAAGTGATTTCTTTATTGCAAGAAATAAATGATAATACTTACTTACCTGAAAATTGAATAAAATCCGAAATAAAAACAAAATTAGAATGCAAGAAGATCGAGGTAAGAGTAGACTTTTTGTCCTTAAAATGAATTTGCCCTTCACAGTTGCCGATGGTGGATTGGCAATCATCTCCCAAGATACATTGATCAATTCTTGTGATGGTAGCACTTTAAATCACAAGAAACAGCAAATCAAACGAAGTTTTTTACTCCTTTTTGTATGAAATTAAAAAACTATTTTGATGCAGAAAATTTGCTATGAATTTGATGTTAATGTATGCAATGACTGCATAGAATTGGAGTGAATGAAATCATAGTAGAGAGGTCCAATTTATAGGGGTTGAATGGTTGCAATAGGAAAGACAAAACCCAAAAATCAACTTGTTCACGAAAGGTTGCATAGGGTCATTGACCACTCACTGACCGCTAGCCTCACCGCTCAAGAAATTTTTTTAGTAACTAGATCGCTTGCTATGCATGAAGTGGGTGCTCGAGCAGCCGTTTAGGTTTTTGAATTTCCTTTTAAATATTGCAAAAATCATGTTTATCAACCCTACTTCTTTCACTAATTTCTCATTCATTCGAAGATAATTTTTGACTTACAAATATACCAAACTTTTCAAATCGAGGAATAGAACGTATTCAGCTCATTTCTCACCAAATTCGAGTAGCTGGATCCATCCAAATATTTGGTCAAAAATTGATCAAAATCATCTTTGTATTAACTATTTTCCAACAAAATTGAGATACCAATTTTATGGAGGTTTATAAAATATATAACAGATTCTTTTTGTCATTGCTTATCTCTTTACATCATCATCTTTCAATCTCGACGGAATCAGCTCTGTTTTGTTTCATACTAATTTTAATTTCTTCCATGTGATGATGTTTGTTGTCTTTGTGGTTTCATTTTACCCTGTTTTCTTTAGCGCCCCCACCCCATAAGGGGGAGAAACCCCCAAAAATAAAAAAAATAAAAAATAAAAATATCTGGCAGCTCGGTCTAACATCATTTTGTGACATTTCATTATATATCTAAATTTTTTTTTTTTTTTTTTTTTTGAAACTTCTGACACCGAGCATTGTGCTCTTTTGTTGGGAAACATAAAAATGGTACATTTTTGTTTTTCTTGCTTTTGAAGCATCGTGAAGACCATTTCCTTGCTGAATATTTTGAAAGGTTTGCTATTTACACGTTATTTCTCGTCAGCAACGTCAATTTATAACCAAGAAAAAAGTGACATTGAAGATTTTTTTTTTCTATATTTGCATATATGTAAATAGAAAAAAATGCCTACAATCGATGTTTGCTGCTTGCATAGTAGAAATTATAAGTTGTTCTGAAATCTGAACCAAAAACGATTTTATGCTTTGTATGGAAGAACTAAAGTATGTTTGGAAAACCAAGTAACAGTAGATATTTTTATTATGCTGGCTTATTGAGAAGTGAAACCAGGCCAAATTTCACTGTTACCAAGGATAAATTAAGTTGTACTTGCTGTTATAAAACAAATACAACCCATCTGATCTTACACTCCAATTGCACCCTGAATCATTAACTGGACAATGATCGAAATCTCTGAAGAAATTATACACATTAAAATGCCCTTTCTTACTTCCTGCACTCATGTCACACTCCGCACGACCACTTCTTCTATCGACATTAAAATTGTCTATAAATTCCCAAGTGCTTTTTGGCTTTAGAGTCCGTGTGCCGATCTCCGTGATGATGCTCATACCAACAACCCGGCAATGGGCAGTTAATGGTCCTGCCATCTGATTGTCTATTGTTATCTTAATCGGAAGTATACGATCAGTTGGTGTGGCCGAATTGATCAAGAGCAAGAAAAATATAAGAAAATAAAGGTTGTAGAATGCCATTTTTTTTTTTTTTT